AATAAATGGGCAAAGGACATGAACAGAAACTTTTCAAAAGAAGACAGACTAATGGCCAGCAAACATATAAACAAGTGCTCAACATCTCTAATCATTAGGGAAATGCAAATCAAAACTAAATGAGTTATCACCTAGCTCCAGTGAGAATGGCTCTTATCAAAAAGTCCCAGAACAACAAATGCTGGCGTGGATGCGGAGAGATTGGAACACTCTTACACTGCTGGTGGGACTGCAAATTAGTACAACAACCCTGTGGAAAGTAATTTGGAGATATCTCAAACAGCTAAAAATAAAAACACTATTTGATCCTGCAATCCCACTACTAGGCATCTATCCAAAGGAAAAAAACACATTCTATAATAAAGACATCTACACTCGAATGTTTATAGCAGCACAATTTACAATTGCAAAGATGTGGAAACAACCCAAGTGCCCATCAATACATGAGTGGATTAATAAAATGTGGTATATGTATACCATAGAATACTACTCAACTACAAAAAACAATGGTGATCTAGCACCTCTTGTATTATCCTTGATAGAGATTGAGCCCATCCTTCGAAGTGAGGTATCACAAGGATGGAAAAACGAGCACCACATGTACTTGCCATCAAACTGGTACTAACTGATCAACACTAAGGTGTTCACATGGTAGTAATATTTACTGGGTGCCAGTCGTGGTGGGGTTACTGGGGGTAAACCCACAACTAATGGAAGCGAAACACACTGTATGGGGGAGGGACACACTTGTAGCCCTGGCTTGGGCAGGGCAAATGCAGTACATGTAACCAAAATGTTTGTGCCCCCATAATGTCCTGAATAAATTATTTTTAAAAAGCTGCCAGGCAATCCCGTGGTTTCTGTAAGTCAGCCTTTCTCCTCTTCATTAGTTATTTTAGACCTTTTCCATTCTCCTCAAATCTCCAATCCCATACTTCCTCCTTTTCAAAAATAAAAAGAGCAAAGAACCATTTGATGGAATTTCACATTCTTCCCACAAATTTCCACTTTGATCCCATCTGTTCTTCTTCCTCTTGAATGCCAGTTAGAAAAGACTTTCTCTCAACTGCAGTCATTCTTGACCTCAGCGATACTCCTACTCCTTCCATGGCTTTTGGGACATTACTATTCTCCTGGTCGTCTTCCTACCTCTATGATTATTCCTTCTTTTCCTCTACGCCCATATTCCTCTTTCTCCATCTGTGACTCTATCTCTTTTTTTTTCCCAATTATAAAGCTTATTTTCTTTTTATTGCACGTCATACCCTTCAAAGCATTTTCTCACTTCCGTTTTGATCCTTATTGGACTCGTTGAATTGAGAAATTTCCAACTCATTCAGATGCCAACATAGAATAATTTTATGCTTTCTCCCATAACTACTCAGCTGAATCCTAAACCTGCTAAGTATGACCAGTGAAATTTCAAATTTTTTCAGTTACATTCAATCATCAAAGCATAGCTTTTAAATGCCATCTACAGACAACCTGCCTCATTAGCACAAGTGAGAATTACACAGCCTCTACCAGATTCCTGTGGTGGGAAAAGGCATGGTTCATTCTCACTGGGTCTCTCTTCCCTTCCTCCCCCAACTTTCCCCTCCCACTCACCTATCTTCACAAACATATGTCCTCTGCAGTAAGTGGCAGCTATGGGAACAGAGCAATATTCTACTTACAACAGCTTGCCATCCATTCATAACAGGTCTGTTACAGTCATCAGCCAGTCCTTCTCCAGAGGCTCAAATGACGCCAGCTGCCAACAGAGTAGAGTGCTTCCAGGAGGAGATGTCTCCATGGTCTTTCTCTGATTCAGTCTGAGGTCAGCGGCCTCTATACATCTCTACAGTAGATGGTGATTTCTGCACAGGTAGCCTGTGTGCTTCTCTAGGCAGTGTATAAGCTCACCCTGGCTCCCTCTGCCCAACTTCATTAGAGTTTTGCATATACCCACCTAGCTAGGTAACCCACAGGAAGCCTCTCTGACTCTAACATCTTCATTTGGGTCTATGCGCCTTCCCTCACATAAGCCATGAGACTCTCCGGAGTCCTCTGTACTTGATCACTGAGAACTCCTTCCAAGGCATTCTCCCCCAGAGTCCCTTCAAGCCCAGCTGATATGGGCTACTCCAGCAAGCCTCTCATGCTATGAAATCTCTACAACAGACTTAGGTACCAGTCTCTGTATTTAAAGGCACCCCCAAGCTTCCAGTGACAAATATCTAGTTCCTCAGATTGAAATAGGAAATAGGAAAAGAAAAGTAAAATATGTTCCCAGCATGCTTTTCTCCAAAATCTCTCAACACATTTCACAGACAATAAAATCAGTCTGCACAGCAAACATTCAACCAGAGAAGATGCCAGTCTCCCCTCCCTGCGGCCACATCCACAACTTCACAACCAATTCTTTCAAGTCTTACTTCAAACTTTTGTGAGAATGAGAGGAGAGGATGGCTGCCACTTCATTAACTGTGCACACTCCAAAAGGCTATTTTCCCCAGCCCACCCTCTAGCCCACTCTGTAAGGGGCAAGGGAAAGGCAGGGGTGATGCTTAGAGTATAGTTTTGCTGGAATGTCGGTTCTTAGCAACCCATGCAGTGAACTGGGTGATGTCATAACAGGCACATCTTCAAACTCAAAAAATGAGGAATTTAGCCTCTTTTGATTACAGAGGTGGGGTCTGGTCAGCAATCCTGAGCAAATAGGAAGGATATTTTTTACTATCATGTTACACTTATCATGTCAATTACATAATACAGGTGCTATTAACTGCATTTTACATATGAGACACAGAACTGAACAGTGGTTATTTAATAAGACTAAAACACAAAAATCATAAATAAGGATAAATCCTTAAGAGCATCAACAAAACAAAGGTTGAATCCACTTATAAAATCAGGAAAAATTCCTGGGTTATGTATTGCACCAAAGTACTAACCAAATGAGACAATGATTGGCAGTGCCTTGATAATGAGAATAAAGCAAAACAAAAAGGAACACTGGTTATTATATATCCAACACATACTCAGGCCAAATGTTAAACTGTATATTTTTACATTACTACCTGTAAGTCCTGGACGGGAACTTATGAGGAGTGGAGTATGAAAATAATTTTTTTTTTTGAAATGGGGTCTCACTCTGTCACCCAGGCTGGATGGAGTACAGTGGCATAGTCACAACTCACTGCAGCCTTGAACTCCTAGGCTCATGGGATCCTCCTGCGTCAGCCTCTTAAGTAGCTAGGACTACAGGTGTGAACCACGACGCCCAGCTAATTTTTTTTTAAAGTTGTTTTGTAGAGATGAGGTCTCACTATGTTGCCCAGGCTGGTCTTGAACTCCTGGCCTCAAGCAATCTTTCTGCACTGGACTCCCAAAAGGCTGGGATTACAGGCATGAGTCACTGTACCTATCCTAAAAATATTAATACCTCTTAAACTCCCACATTTTATTTCTCAGCATAAGCCTCTGAGCATCTTGGCACAATATAAAGAAAGGAGAACACATCTCTATTCCTCTCACTTTGTCAAAACCTTCTCCATCCTTCTAATCTACAACTCATACAACAAATTTCTATTGCTATTAAGCTTTCACAAAGTTTTGGATGAATACGTGACAGAACCAGAAATAAAAGCCATACTTTCTTACTGCCGAGTTCAGCTTCCTCAAACACTGTGGTATCGGAAACAGGTGTTAAGAGTTTCCACTCATCATAGAGACAAGACTGTAATTGATCAATCTCACTTTGTAAAGTACACATTTTACAAACAAATTTGATTTCTTCAATCAGCCTTTTGTTATTTTTAATCACAAAACCAAAGAATCTGCTGATGTGATTGATCTCTAGAGCTAGCCTAGAAGTTATCTAGGCCTACATGCTCAGAAGAAACTATATAATCCAAAACTAAGTCTAGCAGTGTTTTCTACCACAACATGCTGACTCATTATACTCAAACGATATGATTTTACTTTGAAATATTTTTCCTAAACCATAAAAAGTTTTTATATGCTGATAGTAATAATGTTAATTGTAATAACCACAGGTGTTTGGATAGTTTCAACTACTGTTCATTTTGAAAACTGCTTTTTAATCTTATTTTTAAACTAGTCTAAAACCTATTTTGGCTGTTTCCAATTTAAGAGGAAACACAGCTGCTGTCTCAACATGTAACTTTTCTTTGACCCTTCATATATTTCAAAGGCTAAATAACAAATTCCATGGTTTTCAACCACGTTCCCCATAAAAATAGAGGTTACCGCTTTAATGTTTCTATGAAGATGCACCACTCTGGTTTGTCTCAAAATAATTCTATTCAATAAAAAGTAAATAGTACACAGTTTGTATTTACTAAAAGGCCAGGCTTTTCAGTGAATTTTTAGAGACAGCCTACACTATGTGTCTGTTTAATATCCTATTACAAACAGAAGGTTATCAAAAATTAGAAAACACACCTTGCAATGACATCCCCATCCCACCCAGGATTGTTTACAGTTAGCCATCAATCTCACTTTTCCCTGACCAAAGTGAATTAGGAGAGTGATAAGTATCTCAACGGAAAGTGAGCAATGTCCAATTAAAGACATTAAACATGAAACCAAAGAATGTGCAAATGTCACTAGTGCCACCTACAGTGCCAATCGAGGATGCAGATGATAAAGATTTTTAAAATAATCATGTGTGTGTCTATTATCTGTGTAGGCAACCCTTTGATTCCTCGCCCAGGACTACGTATCAAGACAGCTTTCCAGCAAGTCATTCAAAGAATATAAAATACATAATTAGATAATGCAAAAAAAAAAAACACTCTTCAAAATCAAGAATACCTGAAGCATAATGCTGATTTTAGTGTACAGATCAAAAGAACAATTTCTCATAAGAGGTAATGAAATGAAAAGCATACAGAATTTATTAAAACTAGACAAATTGAGGTAAAGGTGAAGTCAGACGTAGCAAAAATTAGACAGGCTAACTTCAAATGCATTATAAAGCCTACAAACCTTACCTTACATTCCACCACACTCTGATCTGATTCACAAGTTACATAGATTTCATCTACTGCCCGGCGAAGATTGTCAAAAAGAAATGCCCAGTATCGAGCTCTCAGATCAATCTTCCGAGGGTGCCTTGTTTTAGTGGGACTTTTATCAAAGTGTTTATCTCCAGTTGTAGATGATGTTATTTTGCAGTCTACTGCAGTGCTCTGGTGAAATAAAATGAAACATGAAAAATAAATAAATAAAAAAGTCTTCCACGGATTGGATTTTTGTATAAAGTACATTTTTCAATATATATATATTATACTTAAAAATAAGACATTCTTCTTTTCCACTTACATCACACTTGAATTCATCAGAACAAGTTTCTCACCTTAAACAAGAGGCAGATTCATAAAGTCAATTTTTATTTTAGACATGACTTACTGAAGATTAGGATAACTTTAATAGTGAATAGACCATTAGCAAAAAGGAGCACTAAAGTTACTCCTGATTTACTAGAACACATGTATGGCACATTTATATACATTCACAAATAATAAATAGTAATTTCAACATTTTGAAATTGCTTGCATATATTCTTTTTATTTAGAAATGCCACATACTATACCTATGTTCAGTTCCTTAATTTTAACTTAAACTATTTTTCCTCTAAAATTAAAATTTAATATAAAAATAGCAAATAATTTACCAGAAAACTGAAAGAATAAAGCCAAGCACCCACTACAGCCGGAGAAGACTCACCAAACAAAGTAGTTTAGTGTTCACGAGACCCATTCTTTCTTCAGTTGCTCATGCAGACTTTGAAAGTACGACTCAATAATTATAATCTATAGTTTTACAGACTGCACCACAGAATCATTCCTCCAAAAACATGAGCATATAGTTTACTAATATTAAGACCTAAATTTAAAACACAACCTGAAGCTTCTCACTAGAAGTACAAAGGAACTATTAATACTTATCACTACACAGGTACTTAAACTGAAAAAAAAAAAGCAGAAAAAACTAACCTACTCCTACAGTTAGAGCAATAAACAATCCCATGCTTGTTTGTTTCTTTTTCTTCCTTGTTGTTTTTTCTTTTTAATAGAAGAGGCCCAAAGTGGAGAACATGTGAAACAGAGGCTAATACCCTCACTGTTTTGTTTTAGGCATTGCCTTCAGAATAACAGTGATTCCTGCATTTCATAAATCTTTTAGAGCCAATCTTTGCTTTATATAGCACCATCACTACCAAAAAGCAAGCAAACAAACCACACACACACACACACACACACACACACTTTCTCTCTTTCTCTTAAGAGGTCTAGATGAAGCGGCTCATCCTCTCCCCATATCTCCTCACCCACATTATCATTGCCAGAATTAACAAATAAAAAATAACAAATATTTTCTCTGACAGCACTGGCCTAGGCCCAAATCTCAATGAAGATGGGAAAAACCCATCTCTTTGCCAACATTCAAGCAACAAACTTTAATTTCCAACAACCACCACAAAACCTGTCTCAAGTGCTCCCCAAGTTCTTTTCAGCCCTAAATGGTAAATGATTTAACTGCTATGGAAATATTCCATCCTTGGGCTAAACCAAACCCAAACTCCCATTCAACTAGCATCTGCCCCAGAACAAACGTTTCTTCTATTACTCTATGACAAGAATAATTAACAGTTTACAATGAGTTATATACTTTAAATGGATGTTTTGTATGGTATGTGAATTACAATACAATAAAGCTATTTAAAAAGAAAAAATAATAATAATTAACAGTTTATACAGGTGGCCTCCCTATCCATGGGTTCTGAATCCATGGATTCTCAAAAATATTCAGGAAAAAAACGCATCTGTACCAAACACGTAAAGTTTTTTTTTCCTGTCATTATTCCCTAACACAGTATAACAAGTATTTACATAGCATTTACGTTGTTTTAGGTATTAAAAGTAACCTAGAGATGAGTATATGGACGGGTATGTGTAGGTTATGTTATATACTAACACTACACCATTTTACATAAGAGACTAGAGTACCCAAGGACGTTGTTATCCATGGAGGATCCTGGAACCAGTTCCCCATAGATACTGAGGAATAACTGTACATCACAGATCGGCTTCACATAATCTCCTGACCCCCCTCACACACTTTTTAAAGTATGTATTATTAGCTCCACTTTACAAAGTAGAAAATTGAGGTGCAGAGGCTAAGTGATTTGCTCAAGGTCATACAGCCACAGGAGACCATCTTCCAGTTGCTGCTGGCTTCTCATCACACTGCTGGCCAAGGCCTGGTGCCGACAGTGCTTTACCAGATGTTTCAGACCACCTCATTTCTCTTTCTATACGCTACCCAAAGTTAAAATTAACTTGTGAAACTTCCTGAATTATACCTCCTTCACAAAGTTTTTTCTACATTGATAAGCAAAGGACTAGTAGCTTCCTCTAAATCCAGACTCTAATCTTATGAAGTTCTTAAAAATACTGTCACTCACCTTCAACTATTTATGGATTTACCCTGTCATGTATCAATAAAATGTGTATATGATTTAAATACTTTATCATCCTTTCTTATAATGTAGACTGGGCAATACTGCTTTAGGGTTAAGATGTTTCTATTAGTTACAATTGCTCTATTGTAACAGAGTAGTCACCCCTCCTCCTACAGATACGGAGGGGAAATATTGAGAGTGGGGAATATGTAACAGAGGGAATGGCCTGAAAAAAAAAAAAAAAAAGCAAAAATATTTTCTGTCTCTTTGGAGAACTGAAATCTGCATCCCTGCCTCAGGCCAGTGGTAGGGAAGAGCAGGGAGAAGGCCCTTTGTCCTTATCCCAGGTGGCACCAGCCCCCCAGGTGGGTGGCTAGAGGAGTTCACAGGCTTTGTTTTTGGCAGAGATGGGACAATTAGAATAGTTAACCAAGTAATTGCCTGAAGCTGAGAGGCCTCCCTTCAAAAGCTCTGTATTTCTGCCTATGTTCAGGAAAAATTTGGATTTTGAGACAACAGTTTGTCTCTTTTCTCCCTTTGCCAGCAAAGGTAATAAATCTCTTTCCTCCTCCCCAAACACGCTTGTCCTCGTTCTTCTGATTTGGCTTTGTGGACAAACACAGAGCATTCGGTAACACTATCTGAGGTTTTATTTACAAAGATTCCAGAAGGGTAGAAGCTACAGCTAGGTAATTCCATCCAAAAGCAATGTGCTATGCAAATTTGACATTTAGGCTGGGTGCACTGGCTCACGCCTGTAATGCTAGCACTTTGGGAGACCAAGGTGGGAGGATTTCTTGAGGCCAGGAGTTCAAGACCAGCCTGTGCAACATAGCAAGACCCCGTCTCTACAAAAAATAGAAAAATTAGCTGGGTATAGTCACCATGCCTATAGTCCCAGCTACTTGGGAGGTTGAGGCTGGAAGATTGCTTGAGCCCAGGAGTTTGAGGTTGCAGTGAGCTATGATAACACCACTGTACTCTAGCCCAGGCAACAGAGCAAAACCCAGTTTCAAAAAAAAATTGACATTTTACAAAAAGTAACACTTTATATTTGCATACTTACTTATGTTTTATAAAGGGCTTTTGAAAACAATATCATTTAATCATCACAACAACTTGTAAAGATAGGAAAATACTACTATTCCTCTTTCGTAGATGACAAAACTAAGGCTCAGAAAGATGAATTTCTTGACAAAGTCAAAAGACTGAATGACAGAACTGAAACTAGAGCCCTGTCTTTCAATTTCTGCTCCAATGTTCACAAAGCATTTGGCATGGCTTCTAGCACACAAGTGCACAAATAATGTTAGGTATGATTATCATGAGAAAGACAGCAAGGAGAAGAAATATGCTTGTAGAAAAAATGTGAATAAATGCCAAATTTGTGAAGAAGATAAAAGAGGCACATCAAATCATAGAGGCTGATAAACCAGTAGGGAGTTTCAAAGGACAGGGCTCTACCTACTACTGATAAAAATACGATAGCAGCAATAATATTAACCGCAGCAGCAGCACCTAACGTTCATGACATACTTGTATGTGCTAATCACCACACCAAGCATTTCACATACACTTACGCTTCATTTAATCTTTGAAGCAATTTTATATCATATGTACTACTATATCAATTTTACAGAGGAGGAAACTGAGATTTAACTAAATTAAGAGCCCAAGGTTTCACACTAGTTAAGGGACAAAGCCAGGATTCTTATCCCACTGCTATGACTTACTGTGCCTAAACGTTTCCCAACACACTTAATGGAAGGCAAAGCAATCTAAACTTGTGGGAAAAACAAGACGCAACTGAATTGCATGAAATAATAGAGTTTTAATCAATTACTTTTAGAAAGAAAAAAAAAGAAAGGGAAGGAAAGGGAAAGAAGAGAGGGAGAAATTGAGATTTCTGCCTCATCCCTCTATGGGGCTCGCTGATCTCCCAACAATCTGAAGAAATCCAAGGCACCTATCCCCAGAAAAATGCACATGCACATAGGATTGATGTTCACAGAACCCATGTCAAATCTCAGATTAAGAAGCTCTCTCCCTACATTTTGTAGGTATTTGAAATTATCTTAAATACAAAAATGAGGATTTCTTTTGGCGTCCACTCCTTCTGAGGTAACAGAAACCTTAATCAGTTTATATGTATTACATTCGCTGATATATTTACATCTACTACTATCTTTTGGGTTTTTTACTTAGCATTTTTCTGGCTTCTTTTTTTCCTTCTCTTTAATTCAAAGTTTTTGTTTTTTCATTCTTTCTCTTTTCTTCTGCTTGCTTGGAAATTATGGCTTGTATTTTTATTCTTTAGGTAACTAGCCTTAAACTTTTATATACTTACATTCATATTTTCATAACAAAGACTTCTTCCCAAATAAGACAAGGATTTTATCACTCCAACTCCCCTCCAACCTTCCTGTCTTAGTCTGTTCAGACTGCTATAACAAAATACCATAAATTGGGTGGCTTATAAACAACAGAAATCTGGAGGTTGTGAAGTCCAACAGCAAGGCACTGGTAGATTCATTCTTTCTGGTGAAGGACCCACTTCCTGGTTCCTAGATGACCAGCTTCCCACTGTGTCCTCACATGGCAAAAGAACAAGTGAGCTCTCCTTGGTCTCTTTTATAAGGACACCAATTCCATTCATGAGGCTTCTGCCTCCCAAAGGCCCTGCCCTCTAATACCATCATATTGGAGGTTAGAATTTCAACATGT